GATATTCCAAACCATTCCATTTCCCTAGGATTCAATGTGGCTTTCCATTTAGCATTCTGGTCTTGGTTTATTGCATCATTTCTTGGTGATGGGTTTCCACCTTGTATAGTTGGGGCCATGACAAAGAAGCCGGATCGCCACGCTATCACAGTTCCCCTCGCCCTTCATATTTCACAAACAAAAAATGTATCAAACATTCACGCTCTGGTTTTGGCATTTCTTCTTGTTTCATTGAAACAGTTCGATTTCCTGAAACATCACACACGGGCGGGCGAGCTTCCTGCACCAACCACAGGCGTATTTGTACTCACTTCAGTGTTGTGTTCACAACTATCAGCACAGGCAGATGCCGCTGGTGGGTTTGAAGGGAAAGAGGTGCCTCTTATCCCCAAAGTAAATGGGCTGGATTGCCGGCCCCAACCATCCCGCATCAACATGATAATAACGGCAAAAGTTATTAATGAGGAAGAACAAACTAGCTAAGAGAGGTTGAAGGCACTTGTTTTTGCCTGAGCCTACTGGGAAGGGTGGGCTTAATTTTTGTACATTTGGTTCTTTCACAGATTTGATTAATATGGTCTCTGAGGGAATCTCTCGGTCCTCCTGTGCAATTCTTTATGGAACACCTGCTGGAAATTTCAAGCTGCATTATACTTACTTACTTACTTGCTTAGCCGATCCCTCGTTGGATGAGTAAGATGGTCTTCCATGATGGGTTTCCCTGTGGATTCGTAGGTGGCTGTGGAGCCCTATTCTTGACCTGCATCTTCTCCCACAGTGAGGGCATTGGTTTCCAGGTGGGAGGCGGTCCCAGTCGGGGTTGGCTTGACGCGCCCTCTTGGCACATTTTTCTCTTTCGCCCTCCATTCGTGCCTCTTCAAATTCTGCAGCACTGCTGGTCACAGCTGACCTCCAGCTGGAGCTCAAGGGCCAGGGCTTCCCAGTTCTCAGTGTCTATGCCAGAGTTTTTAAGGTTGGCTTTGAGCCCATCTTTAAATATCTTTTCCTGTCCACCAACGTTCCGTTTTCCATTCTTAAGTTCAGAGTAGAGCAACTGCTTTGGGAGACGGTGGTCAGGCATTGGACAACGTGGCCGGCCAGCGGAGTTGATGGCAGGACCATCGCTTCAATGCTGGTGGTCTTTGCTTCTTCCAGCACGCTGATGTCCACTTGTCTTCCCAAGTGATTTGCAGGATTTTCCAGAGGCAGCCTGATGGAATCGTTCCAGGAGTTGCATGGTCTGTAGACAGTCCATGTCTCGCAGGCTTATAGCAGGGTTGAGAGGACAGTAGCTTTATAGACAAGCACCTTGGTATCTCTACAGATGTCCAGGTCCTCAAACACTCTCTGCTTCATTTGGGTGCATTATATGACAGTGTAGATCCAGCACCAAAAAACCCAAGGAACAGGAGGCTTGGTGTAGGTTTTTCAGGCTGTATGGCCATGTTGTTGAGGCATTCTCTCCTGACCTCTCACCTGCATCTATGGCAGGCATCCTCAGAGGTTGTGAGGTCTGTTGGAAACTAGGAAAATTGGGTTTATATATCTGTGGAAAATCCAGGGTGGGAGAAAGAACTCTTCTCTGTTGGAGGCTAGTGTGAATGTTTCAATTCGCCACCTTGATTAGCATTTGATGGCCTGACAGTTTTAAGGTGTGGCTTGTTAGTGCCTGGGGGAATCCTTTCATAGAGTCATAGAAGCATAGAGTTGGAAGAGACCTCGTCCGCCCTCCAGTCCAACCCCCTTCCAAGAGGGGTTGGACGAGAGACGGGGCCTTCTCAGGGGTGGCCCCTCAGCTATGGAACACCCTTCCTGGGGACATTAGATCGGCCCCCGCCCTCTTAACATTTCGGAAGAGAGTCAAGACTTAGTTGTTTGAGCAAGCATTTGAAAATGCAAGGTGAAAGACATAGGAATTGGAACGACTGGATGACGAGATGGGACAATGTTTTTTATTAAGAGACGCAAATGATCTATGTTTTAATATTCTTGTTATGGTTTTATATTATGTGTTAATGTTTTTAAATGTTTTATTGTGTTTTTGGGCATCAAATCATTGCCATTGTAAACCACCCTGAGTCGCCTGAGGGCTGAGAAGGGTGGTATACAAATACAGTAAATAAATCAATAATAAATAAATAAACATGGCCATATAGCCTGGAAACCTTACAGCAACCAAGATTTAGGGAGGGTTTTGTGCTCCACGTCCCCATAATTCCCAACTCAGCATGATTAGGGGATTCTGATTTTTGTTAGTAGTCCAAAAGAAGAACTTTCCCCACATTCTGTTCTGTTTTCACAAGGAAGCAGCCCATGAGAGAGGCTTCAGTTTCACTTTGCATGCCTACAACAAGTGGAGAGGCCTGAGCCGTGATCTGTCTTGTATTTTTAAGAGAGGGTTTCTGTAAGTGAAACCTAGCCAATGAGTCACAGGCCATTTCGGGAGAGTTGAAGCGAGCAGCACCAAATGCTAATGGCGCAATGTGAGAATCCTCCTCCTGTGCAACCGGACACTTTCCATCCTAGCTGAGGCTGTTTTGTAATTAGAGGACAGACAGTTTGCTTTCTGGATGGATGGCACTTGCAGGTGGAAAGTGCTGGCAGGAGCAGCCTTTAAGTTCTGGAAAAAGAGGTGACGTGGAAATGTTAGTAGCCTGTCTGGCACAGGATGCATTTACAACAGGCATGGGCAAACTTTGGCCCTCCAAGTGTTTTGGACTTCAACTCCTGCAATTCCTAACTCCACCAATGATAGAATTGAACCAAACTTGGCACACAGAACTCCCATGACCAACAGAAAATACTGGAAGCGTTTGGTGGGCATTGACCTTGAGTTTGGGAGTTGTAGTTCACCTACATCCAGAGAGCACTGTGGACTCAAACAATGATGGATCTGGACATGAATACTCAATATGCCCAAATGTGAATATGGGTAGAGTTTGGAGAAAATAGACCTTGACAATTGGGAGTTGTAGTTGCTGGGATTTATAGTTCATCTACACTCAAAGAGCATTCTGAACTCCACCAATGATGGAATTGAATCAAACTTGGCACACTGAACTCCCACGATCACTAGGTTCTTGTGGGTTTTTTCGGGCTGTATGGCCATGTTCTAGAGGCATTCTCTCCTGACGTTTCGCCTGCATCTATGGCAAGCATCCTCAGAGATAGTGATGTCTGTTGGAACTAGGAACATGGGTTTATATATCTGTGGAATGACTGGGTGGGGCAAAGAGCTCTCTGCTGAAGCTAGGTGTGAATGTTTCAGCTGACCACCTTCATTAGCATTTGAAGGCCTGGCTCAGCCTGGGAAAATGTTCTGTTGAGAGGTGTTAAGATGTGCCTGGTTGTTTCCTCTCTGCTGTTTGCTGTTGTAATTTTAGAGTTTTTTTAATACTGGTAGCCAGATTTTGTTCATTTTCATGGTTTCCTCCTTTCTGTTGAAAATGTCCACATGCTTGTGGATTTCAATGGCTTCTCTGTGTAGTCTGACATGGTGGTTGTGTGGATTTCAGCATTTCTGTGTTCTCAAATAATATGCTGTGTCCAGGTTGGTCATCAGGTGCTCTGCTATGACTGACTTCTCTGGTTGAGTTAGTCTGCAGTGCCTTTCATGTTCCTTGATTCGTGTTGGGCGCTGTCTTTGGTGGTCCCTATGTAGACTTGTCCACAGCTGCATGGTATATGGCAGACTCCTGCAGAGGTGAGAGGATCCCTCTTGTCCTTTGCTGAACGTAGCATTTGTTGGATTTTCTTGGTGGGTCTATAGAGTCTACTGTATACCATGCAGCTGTGGACAAGTCTACATAGGGACCACCAAACGCAGCATTGCCCAGACACGAATCAAGGAACATGAAAGGCACTGCAGACTACTTCAACCAGAGAAGTCATCCATAGCAGAGCACCTGATGAACCAGCCTGGACACAGCATATTATTTGAGAACACAGAAATGCTGGACCACACCAACAACCACCATGTCAGACTACACAGAGAAGCCATTGAAATCCTCAAGCATGTGGACAATTTCAACAGAAAGGAAGAAACCATGAAAATGAACAAAATCTGGCTTGCCAGTATTTAAAAAAATCTAAAATTATAACAGTAAATAAAGAAAAAACAACCAGGCACATCCTAACACCTCTCAACAAAAGATTTTCCCAGGCTCAGCCAGGCCTTCAAATGCTAATGAAGGTGGTCAGTTGAAACATTCACACCTAGCTCCAGCAGAGAAGAGCTCTTTGCCCCACCCCAGCCATTCCACAGATATATAAACCCATTGTCCTAATTCCAACAGACCTCACTACCTCTGAGGATGCTTGCCATAGATGCAGGCGAAACGTCAGGAGAAATGCCTCTAGAACATGGCTCTATAGTCCGAAAAAACCCACAAGAACCTAGTGATTCCAGCCATGAAAGCCTTCGACAATACAGAAAATACTGTGTTTTCTAATGGTCTTTGATGACCCCTCTGACAACCTCTCACGATCACACCAGGGGTCCCGACCCCCAGGTTGAGAAACACTGCTCTAGATGGAGAATATATGTTGGTTCATTAGGGGGACTTGAGTCTCACTTAGCCTGCTTAGATCCTGGCTCTAGAAGAAAAGCACCCTATAAATCCAATAAAGAAATGCTGAATGAACTCATGTCCAAAATAATAAGTGAAAAGTTGGTCATGCTGCTTTAAAAGTGTTTCATTTCTGATCTTGCTGCTCTCATTCATTTCATAGTTGGTTGCATAAAAAAGTTGCGAGTGCTTAAAGTGCTGTAGCGTTCTGCTTTTTTCTGTTGCACCAAACTGACCTGCCTCTGTATAAATCATTTTGGTGGCTCTACAAAGGATCCAAAGGCTGGCCATTCTTTTGTTACTGTGCCATCTTATTTTCTGCTACAGAGGGGCGATTTCCCAAAGGCTCTGTCAGCTTCATTTCCCTCCTGTATATAAATAGCGCATTTAACACTTGACAGCATCATGTTGAACCGTGCAGTCTACCAAGCAGTCACTTTGCAGTGTCATTTGGCAAAAGGCATGGGATCTGTCTGTTTCCCTGGCGATGGCCAGCGGCAACTTGTGACTTTGCATTAACCCTTGCAAGGGTCAATGAGCACATACTCTCCTTTTTTCTTTTCAGCATCCAATATCTAATTTTGAACTTTTTTAAGAGCTATTTCTACTCAGGATTTTTTTTTTTTTTTGCATGGACAAAATCAATCGGCTGTTATTCCTGGCCATTGCCTGGTGACCAACATTGGAGCCTCCGGCGATGCAGCTGAGCAGACAACGGATCGAGCGGCGGTCTTGTGCTATGCCTGGTTGCGTGGCAAACTTTTGCTAACTCAGCCAGCTGAGGATCAGAGAAAGGGAAATGCTGTTGGGATGGATAAGGGGCATTTGGATTAAATGCCTCGGCTTGGCATGAGCGATAAAGTCAGCAAGGCAAAGGCAGCTTTGAAAATCTATCCCATCCATGTCTGCTTTCTGGCCCATGCAGTGCCCACCATGTCGCCCTTTCTCCGGATTGGCCTCTCCAACTTTGACAGCGGTCCCTACCTGCCTTCCCAAGGAGATGTGGTTGATCCGTACTGCGCCGTGATGGTCAAAGAAGCCACAGAGGGTGGTAAGCATGTGTGGTTATATTCAGTCAAGGCTGGGTGTTGTGTGGGCTCTTCCATTAGATGTAACCCAATGTATGCATCCCAAGATATTGTCGATAACTATTTTAAGTTGATTTCCATTTATTGTGGCCCTCTGAATGAAGGATTTTAATGCAACCTTATTTTTTCATGTCAGAAGCAACTTGAGAAACTGCAAATTGCTTCTGGTGTGAGAGAATTGGCCGTCTGCAAGGATGTTGCCCAGGGGACATCCGGATGTTTTGATGTGTTACCATCCTGTTCATCTTGTTATTCAGGTAGAGATGAACCAAACTCCCAGTTTGTATCAAACAGTTTAATTAAAACAGCACTTACTTTCTGGCTGTTTTAATAATCCAAAATATAAAACATAAAGATAGCACTCAGCCACAGAATATAAAACAAAAACTGATAGCAAATGCTACACTGTAGTCAAAGGGTCCAGTCCAGTGGTCAAATGCCAAGAGTTCAATGAGCAAAGTCCAGGGATCAAGAGTCTATACCATAGTCAAAAGCCAGTCCAAAGATTCAAAGTTCCAGGGTTCCAAGAGTTCAGGAGACAGGTCAGGATACCAAAAATCCAGAGACCTGTAGGGAAACCAGCAGCATCTACCACCAAAATAAGACAAACAGCTCCTTAAATCTAGTAACACCCAGCTGCAACCTATGCCTTGCATGCCTCCACTCTTAATTACTTTTACCTGTAAAGTGTTACTTACAAATTACTCAGCCCTTAAGAACTAAGACTTACATTAATCCTTCCATCACCAACTGCTAGGTCTGCCACCAACAACCACCATCAACTGCGGGACATGATACACGATGTTACCATCCTGTGGGAGGCTTCTCTCATGACCCCACATGGGTAGCTGGAGCTGACAAAGGGAGCTTACCCCACTTATCACCAACCTGTCAATCAAATAATCCTGCCAACATAGAGGTTTAACCCATTGCCCCACCGGGGGCTTCATACGCAAGCCTGTGAATGAGAGTAACTCCATTCTCGACAGATCATACAAACTCAGGGAGGTAGCTTCCCTGATTGAAAACTCTATTGTATAGAGCAGGGGTCCTCAAACTAAGTCCCAGGGGCCAAATATGGCCCTCCAAGGTCATTTACCTGGCCCTCGCTCAGGGTCAACCTAAGTCTGAAACCACTTGAAAGCACACAACAACAACAACAACAACACTATCTCATCAGCCAAAAGCTGGTTCACACTTCCCATTGAAATACTAATTTCAATGGGAAATTCTTCATTTAAATTATTGAATTGTTTTTAAGTGTTTTTTGCACTAGAAATAAGATATGTGCAATATGTATAGCAATTCATTCCTTCTTTTTTTTTTCCAAATTATAATACGGACCTCCAACAGTTTGAGGGACTGTGACCTGACCTTTTGTTTAAAAAGTTTGGCGACCCCTGGTATAGAGGATGCAAACTGGCATAGAAGCAGGATGGTCACTTTTGGTGGCTGTCCCTTTGGTACAATACTATGAGATATCCACTGCTGGTCCATCACCTGCCTGCGACAAAGCCCTTTCCTGCTATTGATGGGCAAAACTCATCAATAGCTTATTTATTTATCGTGTCATCAGCAACCAGACATCTGTATTACATTTTTAACAAAAAAACAAACAAACAAATAGACAAAACACAGAATTTGCAAGCTTGGTAGTTGATTAAATGTCCTTTGACCAGTATCTGGCCACTTGGAGTGCCTCTGGTGTTGCTGCAAGAAGGTCCTCCATTGTGCATGTGGCGGGGCTCAGGTTGCATTGCAGCAGGTGGTCAGTGGTTTGCTCTTCTCCACACTCGCATGTCGAGGATTCCACTTTGTGGCCCCATTTCTTAAGGTTGGCTCTGCATCTTGTGGTGCCAGAGCGCAGTCTGTTCAGCGCCTTCCAAGTCACCCAGTCTTCTGTGTGCCCAGGGGGGAGTCTCTCATTTGGTATCAGCCATTGATTGAGGTTCTGGGTTTGAGCCTGCCACTTTTGGACTCTCGCTTGCTGAGGTGTTCCAGCGAGTGTCTCTGTAGATCTTAGAAAACTATTTCTTGATTTAAGTCGTTGACGTGCTGGCTGATACCCAAACAGGGGATGAGCTGGAGATGTCTCTGCCTTGGTCCTTTCACTATTGGCTGCTACTTCTCGGCAGATGTCAGGTGGTGCGATACCGGCTAGACAGTGTAATTTCTCCAGGGTGTAGGGCGCAGACACCCCGTGATAATGCGGCATGTCTCATTAAGAGCCACATCCACTGTTTTAGTGTGGTGAGATGTGTTCCACAATGGGCATGCATACTCAGCAGCAGAGTAGCATAGCGCAAGGGCAGATGTCTTCACTGTGTCTGGTTGTGATCCCCAGGTTGTGCCAGTCAGCTTTCGTATGATATTGTTTCTAGCACCCACTTTTTGCTTGATGTTCAAGGCAGTGCTTCTTGTAAGTCAGGGCACGGTCCAGAGTGACTCCCAGGTATTTGGGTGTGCAGTAGTAATCAATAGCTGAGGACTGTGCTATGTTATCACAACCTACCTGGCATTTCTGTGGTGGCATACCAGTGACGTCAGGAGGCAGGATTGTCCTCTTCTCGCACTCTCAGTTCACAATTAAAGGAAGGATTTTTTTTCTTTCCTTGTTAAAATTTTTTACTTTACGGAATTGAAAAGTGTCTCAGAAAGCCTTTCCATTTAGCACTCTGGTCTTGTGGTATGCCACAAGAAAAGTGACATACCAGTAATGCAGTTATTACTCTCACCCGGCCACTGGAACTCACACCGCTGGCACACTCCATTACACTATGCTAACGGTGGTACGAAAATGATGGTACCAATGCTAGGAAGTTAAACATGAGCCAACAATGTGATGTGGCGGCAAAAAAAGCCAATGGGATTTTTGCCTGCATCAATAGGAGCATAGTGTCTAGATCTAGGGAAGTCATGCTACCCCTCTATTCTGCTTTGGTTAGACCACACCTGGAATATTGTGTCCAATTCTGGGCACCACAATTGAAGAGAGATATTGACAAGCTGGAATGTGTCCAGAGGAGGGTGACTAAAATGATCAAGGGTCTGGAGAACAAGCCCTATGAGGAGCGGCTTAAGGAGCTGGGCATGTTTAGCCTGAAGAAGAGAAGGCTGAGAGGGGATATGATAGCCATGTATAAATATGTGAGAGGAAGCCACAGGGAGGAGGAGGGAGCAAGCTTCCTTTCTGCTTCCCTGGAGACTAGGACACAATGGAACAATGGCTTCAAACTACGAGAGAGGAGATTTCATCTTGTCTGTGAGAGCCATTCAGCAGTGGAACTCTCTGCCCCGGAGGGAGTGTGGTGGAGGCTCCTTCTTTGGAAGCTTTGAAACAGGGGCTGGATGGCCATCTGTCAGGGGTGATTTGAATGCAATATTCCTGCTTCTTGGCAGGGGGTTGGACTGGATGGCCCATGAGGTCTCTTCCAACTCTTTGATTCTGATTCTATGATTCTAAGTTGCCGCTAATCCTAATCATGTGAATGGTGTGTGATATTTTGACTCTTGTTTTCTGGAATGCCATCTCCCTCTTTTCCAGTAACCGCCTGGGGACGCCCTGCTCTTGCTTCCACCTTATTCTCAAGCACAGGTGGTAGAGACGAGAGATAGGGCCTTCTCAGTGGTGACCCCTCAGCTGTGGAATCCCCTCCCTAGAGATATCAGGGCAGCCCCCTCCCTCCTGATGTTCAGAAGGAGAGTCACAACTTGGCTCTGGGAGCAGGCTTTTGAAAAATAGAGCAGTGCATAAATGTTAATATGAAAAATGTGCAATATGACTATGGAATGGCCTTGGACTCTGACTCTGGATGACGCGATTCATTGAAATGTATTTTAATTATGTTAATTATGTTTTTAAATTCAAACCATGTTTTTAGTTCGATTTTGTATGTTGTAAGCCACCTTGAGTCCCCCACAGGGTAGAGAAAGGCAGGATATAAATAAAGTAAATAATAATAGTAACCCATTTTCCTAGTTCCAACAGACCTCACTACCTCTGAGGATGCTTGTCATAGATGTAGGTGAAACGTCATGCCTCTAGAACATGGCCATATAGCCCAAAAAAACCTACAATAGCCCGAAAAAACCTACAACAACCCAATAATAATAACATTTTACCCTTCCAAGAGGAGCTCCCAGTGGAGCAGTGGGTTAAACCCTTGTGCTGGCAGGACTGAAGACTGACAGGTCGGAGATTCAAATCCGGGGAGAGCACAGATGAGCTCCCTCTGTCAGCTCCAGCTCCTCCTTATTTATTTATTTATTTACTATACTTGTATACCACCTTTCTCAACCTATCAGCGACTCAAGGTGGTTTACAACAAGTCAGTACACATAATAGCAAAATACAAATTAAGCATTAAAACAATATAATACCTCAATAGAAACAATAAAAATCAATGTATTGTCGAAGGCTTTCATGGCCAGAATCACTGGGTTGTTGTAGGTTTTTCGGGCTATATGACCATGTTCTAGAGGCATTCTCTCCTGACGTTTCACCTGCATCTATGGCAAGCATCCTCAGAAGTAGTGAGGTCACTACCTCTGAGGATGCTTGCCATAGATGCAGGTGAAACGTCAGGAGAGAATGCCTCTAGAACATGGCCATATAGCCCGAAAAAACCTACAACAACCCAATAAAAACCAACATCATTATCATCAGCGTCTCCTAGTTTAAAAACATTATCCAAGTTCCATTGTCAAGTGATTCTAATTCCTATGTTAGTTACTCTGCATTTGTAAATGCTTGCTCATATAACCATGTCTTAACTTGTCTCCGAAATATTAAGAGTGAAGAAGCCAATCTAATCTCCTTAGGGAGGGCGTTCCATAGCCGAGGGGCCACTACTAAGAAGGCCCTGTCTCTTGTCCCCGCCAAATGTACTTGTGATTGAGAGCAGGGCCTCCCCGGACGATCTTAAAGTCCTATATGGTTCATAAGGGGAAATACGTTTGGACA